TGGGGCTGAGGATGCCGGGGATGGCCCAGCTGCTACCTCCTCTTCTGTGGCCCAGGGTCTTTGCAACCCTCTCCTCTCTGTGGCTGGGGTCACCGAGGCTCCCTCCGGTCACACGTGAGACAGTGGGACCTGCTTGTGGTAGGAGGCCATGCTGGGCAGCACCGTCCTGCCCGCCAGCGCTGGGCTGGCCTCACCATACACGGAGGCACCCGCAGGCTTCCTGGCCCGGCAGCAGCGGGCTGTGAAGCGTCTCCAGGACTCGAGCGTCTTGCCGGACCAGATCCAGACACCGGAGGTGATGCCCACCACAAGGCACATGAAGTACTTGAGCATGAAGACGGCGTAGTCGGGCTTGGGGCGGTGGAGGTCCCCTGGGCAGGAGCAGTTCTGCGCCTGCTCCCATGCCTCTCGGTTGTGCTGCTCGTAGATGTAGCAGGCGATGACAATGGTGGCAGGCACGGTGTAGAGCACGGTGAAGATGCCGATGCGAATCATCAGCTTCTCCAGCTTGTCAGTCTTGGTGCCGCCCTGCTTGATCACACTGCGGATGCGAAAGAGCGAGACAAAGCCAGCCAGCAGGAAGAGGCTGCCGGTGAAGAGATAAACTACCAGCGGTGCCAGCACGAAGCCCCGCAGGTTCTCCAGGCTCTGGTTGCCCACGTAGCAAACCCCGGCCACTGGGTCACCGTCCACGGAGCTGAGTGCCAGTACAGCAATGGATTTGGCGCTGGGGATGAGCCAGGCGGCCAGGTGGAAGTACTGCGCGTAGCTAGCAATGGCCTCGTTGCCCCACTTCATGCCGGCTGCCAGGAACCAGGTGAGGGACAGGATGACCCACCAGATGGAGCTGGCCATGCCGAAGAAGTAGAGGAGAAGGAAAACCACAGTGCAGAGGGCAGGGCCTGTGGTCTCATAGTGGATGTGGTGGTGCTCTGGGTTGCAAGCCACACTGGCATGCCCTGCCACCAGCCGCACAATGTAACCCACAGAGACGAAGAGGTAACAAGCAGACAGGAAGATGATGGGGCGCTCAGGGTACTTGAAGCGCTCCATGTCGATGAGGAAGGTGGCCACGGTGGTGGAGGTGGAGAGGAAGCAGAGAATGGACCAGAGGCCGATCCAGAAGGTGGCGAAGGTTTTCTCATCCTGGGTAAAGTAGGGCTGGTAGCAGGGGATGGCGCAGTTGGGTACCTGCCCAGTCTTGATGCGGTTGTACAGCGGATGGGACTCCTTGGAGATGGGGATCAGGGGCGCTTTGCACTTGCAAGTCCGGCCGCAGTCCAGCCCAGAGGGGCGCTGCCCATCGAGCGGCGTCAGGTTTTTGGCCACGTCCTTGCCCGGGCGTGTGGGCTTCCCGAAGAAAGGCGGCAGGGTGGTGGCTTCCGTGCGGTTGTATCCCATGCAGAGCACCTCGGTGTCCCCCAGAACCGGCAGGCTGTCGCAGCTCATCCTCTCGGGCCAGGCGAAGCCGTACTGCTGCATGATGGGCGAGCAGCCGGCCTTGGCCCGCTCGCAGACGGAGCGGCAGGGAGGCAGCGGCTTGGTGTAGTCGGGCAGGCAGATGGGGGTGTACATGCTGCAGAGGAAGAAGCGCAGGTCCGGGGAGCACTGGATCTCCACCAGCGGCCAGAACTGGTGCACCTCCA